GCGGGCGCCACGTCGAACCGGCCGCTTTGAAATTGCTCGGGCCTGTGCGAAACCCGCCACCTCAAAAACCTGCAGTGTCTTGTGTCTGGACCTCTAGGCCATGTCCGGTGGGGTGAAAGGACACTTAAAAATCACCCCGTTATTTTTCGAGGGGCGGCTAGGACCCGACAAACGTCCTGGGCCGCCCCATTTTTTATTTTTTTTTTTGCTCCAGGGGCCTCCATCCAGACATGGGGACCAGACACCGGACACCAGACACCGGACTGTCTGGAACCCGGTCCGGACGTCCGGGTGGTTACCGTGGATGTGACTCTTCAATACGACTTTTCAATATGAGACGTGACTTTTGCCCCTAAGATGTGACTGTTTGCTGGGTGCCTGTTGGACTGGACTGCTGAGGTACCCGACTGTGAGTTTCTGAATTTGACGAACTCGGTCTTTCTTGTCCAGGCCTCTGACCCTGAGATCCGAATTTGGGGTCTGAATCGTGGAAGGCCTTTTACCCACAAGAGACAGTTGACATCTGGAAAGTCAACAGTCAGACCCAGCACGGGAATATCAGGCCCAAAGTAATAGTCAACCCGCTGGTCAGCCACGACCATTGATCAGATGCGCATCATCGGTTGGCTGCAGGTATCCAGAAGATTCCAGTCCAAGTGGGACACAAGGAAAATTGGGAACTGCGCTGCATCCAGGCCATTGGCTTTCGAATCATCTGGGCCTTCGACCCAAGGGGACTGGAGGCCGGTCAACGCAAGTCAATTCTTCAAAAGTTGACCAGGCCCTGTGGAGATCATTCTGCCTTGCACTGCCTTGATGCTAGTGTGGTGACGCGAGGCCACTGGAGCTGTGTGCTGTTGAAAGATGCTGGGAGTGACCGCCAGCCTTGCGCGAGATTATGTTTGCGCGGTTATAGCCGTGTAGATGTAGAGGAGGTGGTAGTTATTGGCGAGGAGGAGGATCAGTGCTATGGGGACTGACTGGAGAGGTGGGGAAGCTTACCTGGACTTACCTGGCGATGACACATGTGATCTGCTGTAGAGTAGGTGGTAATTATTGGCGAGGAGGAGGATTAGGGTTGTGGGGCTGACTGGAGAATTGGGGAGACATACTTGGCGATGACACATGTGATCTGCTGCTGTCTCCACGAAGATGAGGGAGTGCTGCGCCATCCTCCAAATCTGATTGCTGACGCGGAAGGAGGATGGGCTCCCTGTTCTGATCTGCACAGTAATTATGACAGAGGATGTCAGGGGGAACGTGCATTTTGAGGTGGCATTCAGGGAGAATCCCGAAGTGGGAGTGGGATTTTGAGGTGGCGTTCAGGGAGCCTCTGTCCAAACAAAACAGGCCCAGGGCCTCCGACAGTTACCCGTGCCCAACTGCTCACAGCCTGTGCTGGGTCGGGCAACCGCAGGCGACACCATCACTGTCCGGGCCTGGTGTATGGCTTGTTGTACATCCTCCTCCTTTTGTCCCACCAGGTGATAGGGGTATCCCCATATACCGCTCCAACATTGGTTCAGCCTGTCTCCTTGGGTATGCCTTTAACAGGCGGATTCTCAGCAGGTCCTAGTTTGCAGGTTCTTGTATAGACAGTGTTCTCCCAACCTTCGTCTCAGGTTGCCGTAAGCGGGCAGCCTGCTGTATGCAGCCTGCACAACCGCATGGTTCACAGCCCCAACAGATAGTGCAGCAGCCTGCACCACAGGGTCCACTGTTCGGAATGGTGCAGGTACCGGGACAAAGTCAAAAAAAAATAAAAAAGAAATAAAAAAAATCAGTAGGTTCCAAAGGTGGCCATCGTCGCTGCTAAACCCTTTACAGGGGATAAGAGGGGCGAAGACCTCGACACATGGTTGAGGGCAATGCAAGTCTATGTTAAGTGCAAACTTACCTTGTCGCATGAGGAAGTGCTTGTGGCTGCCTCCTATCTAGAGGGGAATGCAGCAAGATGGTTGAGTGGTTTAGTGCAGCTCCAGGGGTACGGTCATGACTTTCGTGCTTGGGTGGTCACCCAAAAATTGGATGACTTCCTCAAGTTGGTGGAAGACAGGTGGCATGATCCGCAGGAGGCCCAAAAGGCTACTGACGCGATCCTGACAGTGCACACGAGGCAGTTTAAGTCAGTGAGAGAGGCCACTGATGCTGTAGAGCGTCATTGTGTCCCTGGAGTTCGCTATGATCCCCATGTTTTACGCACCCCTTACCTGAGATGCTTTCCTATGCCTCTCAGGAATCTATTGGCAAGTGAGGCCAACATCAACATGCACAACTTCCCATCGTTCAACAAGAAGGCCCTAGACCTTGAAGCAAAGATAGGGCATGGTCACACCCCCATGACAGACGGTAGGAAAAAGTCATTGCCTCCCAACTGGAAAGCGAAGGGACGCATCATGTTCGTCGACAATGATGGTTCCACCATCGAATTGGACGACGATTTCCAGTCGGGAGTGGGTTTAGAGGCCGGCAGCGTAGAAGCTTCAGGGGGTGGAGTAGTCATTGCTGTAGCGCAATAAGGTAAGGCGACGGGTAGACGCCGTGGAGGTTCCCGATCTAGGTGTCAAGTACACCCCAATGCTCCATGAGAGAAAGTGGATCTTAGTGAGGACGTGTGGAGATATTGGTACACCCGGCGAGTTTGCATTCGTTGTGGCCAATATGGCCATAACCAATTCAAGTGCAGTAACAGAAAGGTGCCCGAGAAGATCCCGCCTACGATGGGGCAAGCGTTGGGATCCTCCGCTATCGTTGGTAGCAATGTGGCCAGCAGTTCTGCCATTGCTTCGGAAAACACGCCGGGTCAGTAGGAATGGTAGCTGTTCCTACTAGGGTCGAGGTGGTGGACACACCCTCACCATCTCGAGAGATGGCCCAAGCTACTGACTCCATCGTTGTCCTGCAAACCCATTCTGACCCATTGAGCCTCTGTGCTTGAATCCTTAGGAGCTAGAGGAGTGGTCTAGATCAGACCCACTAGCTTCTTGGACGACATTGGCCAAAGCCCCTAAGGGGGAGATGTTCGTCGGCGAGCTAGTCATCGGCGACCGCAAGGCCGGGGCCTATTATGACACTTGCTCGACTAGGAACTTCATTAGTCGCACGTGCGTTGAGAGGCTACGCTTACAGGGGCGAGTGCAGCGCCTGAGTCGACCTATAGAGTCAACCTGTGCCAACAAACAACGCATAGTAGTCAATGACTACCTCCAGGATGTTGAGTTTTGTTTCCCGGACGCGGGAGGGGAATTAAGACATCGTGTCTCATTCTTAGTGAGCGACGATCTCCCTATGGATATCTTGTTAGGTATGTACTACCTCTCCGTGGCACAGCCCCAGTTTGACTTGGACCGAAAAGTGGTCAAACACACTTTCCCAGGTGGGGGGACCAGCAGATTACATAAGTTTAAAGCTAGTAGTCTGATCGAGTCCCACAAATGCATGTGTGCGATCGCGTTCTATAACTATTTGAACCAAAACCTGGAGGAGGGTATGTACCTAGTCTCTGTCTCTGCAGCAGGCGTGCCGGTGAAAATGACGTGGAAGATAGAGGGAGTAGTTGCCAAGTACCCTGATCTATTTGAAGAGCCTACGGGGGTTGTTGAGAGGGAGGTCGTCCACGCAATAGAGATTATCCTAGGGTCTAGTATCCCGAAGGGTCGGATCTGTAGGATGTCTCCTGGCAATCTTGATGAGCTTCGCCAGCAACTCAAGGGACTCGTAGAGAAGGGTTGGATCCGACCGAGCGTTTCTCCTTATGGATCTCCAGTCCTATTCGTACCGAAGAAGGAAGGAACACTTAGGATGTGCATTGACTATAGGGGCCTCAATGCCATCACTGTCAAGAACAGAGAGCCCCTACCGCGCATCGATGACTTGCTTGATAGAGTGCAAGGGTGTCGGTACTTCAGCAAGATAGATCTGAAGTCCGGGTACCGTCAGATTGCAATCCGGCCTGAGGATCAACACAAAATCGCATTGCAGACCCGGTACGGTCTGTACGAGTTTTTGGTGATGCGGTTCGGCTTGTGCAATGCTCCTCGCACCTTTCAGCATGGTATGAATCATATATTTCATGACTACTTGGATAAGTTTGTCATCTTGTACCTTGATGACATACTTATTTTTAGTAGGACTATCGAGGAGCATGTAGCGCACTTAGACAAAGTCCTCAGTCTCCTTCGGCAACAGAAGTTCAAGATAAATGGGGAGGAAGTGTGAGTTTGGCCGCATTCGTATCTTGTACTTGGGTCATGAGATTTCCGCGGAGGGTTTGAAGGTCGATGACGCGAAGGTGGCCAACATTCGTGACTGGCCGCGTCTTCAGTCTGTGATTGAGATGAGGTCCTTTTTGGGGATGACAGGCTACTACCGCAGGTTTGTTCAGAATCACAGCATAGTGGTCCGCCCCTTTGACGGACGTGACTCGCCTTGACACCCCATGGGAGTGGACAGACAGGTGTGAGGCTTCCTTCAGACATCTGAAGCATGTGTTGACACACCATGAGGTCTTGAAAGTTCCTGATCGTGACAAACCTTTTGTAGTAGCTACGGATGCCAGCCAATATGGCATAAGCGCCGTACTTGCGCAGCAGGAGGGGAAGAAGTCGAGGTCAGTAGAGTACATGTCCAAAAAGATGCCGTCTCAGAAGTTGGCTAAGTCCACCTATAAAAAGGAGCTCTATGTGATCTACAAGGCGCTCACCCATTGGAGGCACTATCTCCTTGGGAGGTTCTTCTACGTCAGGACCGATCATCAAACCCGGAAGTGGATAAGGACCCAGCATGTGCTCTCCGATGCACTGAAACGCTGGATTGAAGTCATTGAGCAGTATGACTTCGAGCCCCAGTACATCAAAGGTGAGTACAACAAGGTTACTAATGCGCTGTCGCGTAGGCCAGACTTCTCTGGTGCGCTGATCACTGAGTTCGGGCTTGCGGACGATGTCACTTGTTCTATGGTGGAAGCCTATCGCGAGGACCCGCTCATGTGTGAGATCATTCGCAGACTCGAGGCGAAGGACAAGGTAACTTCTGCCGAGTTTGAGTTGGTCAACGGCTTGCTGTTCCTTGAGAGGGCGGGGAGTAAACGTATGTGTGTTCACAATAGGGAGTCTTTGCGTAGTTTATTTTTAGGTGAGTGTCATGATGCCACCGGATATTTTGGCTTCAAGAAGACTGCAGCCAATCTGCTGCAACGGTTCTAGTGGCCCACGATGATGAGAGACGCCAAGGTGTATGTGGAGACTTGTCAGGTCTGTCAGAGAGACAAGCCCCGTACACAGGCCCCTCTTGGGCTTCTAAAGCCCCTTCCAATTTCGGAAAGGCCTGCTGAGAGCCTGTCCATGGACTTCATGGATACGTTGGTCACCAGCAAGAGTGGAATGCGCTATGTCTACGTCACCGTGGATAGGTTTAGTAAGTACGCTAGGTTAGTTGCAATGCCTGCAACAGCTAAAACTGAGTATGTGATCAGGCTGTTCAAAGAGAACTGGGTCAGAGATTTCGGACTACCTAAGTCTTATAATAAGTGACTGGGATGTGTGATTCACCAGTGAACTGTGGAAAGCCGCAGCTGCAGAACAGGGCACGCAGTTGCAAATGGCATCAGGCAATCACCCAGAGGCGAATGGGCAGGCAGAGCAGTTGAACCGCGCTGTACAACACCTGCTGAGGCATCATATCAAGCGAAATCAGGTAGACTGGGATGAGAAACTTGCTCTCATCGCCAGCCTGTACAACAATGCTGTGCACAACGCTACGGGAGTGAGTCCGAACAGCTTGCTACTGACTTCAAGCCTGGACTGCCTTTGGGCTTCCTACTACCTGAGAATTAGCCATGTGCTGGACCCGGGACCTTAGAGTTTGCTTATCGATATGAGGAACTGATGCAGCAGGCTGTCGAACAGATGCACAAGGCACAGGCGATGATGTTAGAGTCTGAGAATAAACACAGCCGTTCATCCACATTTCAGGTAGGAGAGAGAGTCTGGGTTAAGTCTTCAAACTTGGGACAGGAGCACAAGATCTCCCGCTTGCTCATGCCATGGATGGAGGTCCTCGATGCCATTTCGGGTAGGAGAGAGAGTCTGGGTTAAGTCTTCGAACCTGAGACAATACTTTGGACCATGGGAGGTCCTCGATGTTGTTGCGGATGAACTGGATGGGCCATCATATGTTATTCGCATCCCTGATCATTTATGAACTTACCCTGTTTTTCACGCCTCTAGCTTGCACCGCTCGGAGAAACTGATCAGTTTCCCTCTCGTCACTCTATGCTGCCCCCAACCATGGATGGAGAGCTCGACATCGACGACATTGTTGATCACAGGGAGATGCCAGTTCCTAGACCAACAGACAGAGGACGTCCTCCAAAACTGAAGCTACAGTATAGAGTTCGGTTCAGACATCACATTGATCTAAAGGAGGACGGGTGGTTTACCAGGGAGGAACTGATGCAGACCGCTCCTCAGGTTGTGAGCCAATATGAAAAGTCTCTGCACAAGGGAAAGCGCCAGATTATCGAAGATTGAACTTCTCAGAGGACTAGCGAAGTATGGAGGAGGGAATGCGAGGCACAAGGCCTCAATGCGCCCCTACAGGGCCCCATTTCCAGTACAGTTGGCCGCCCTAAGTGAAGGCAGGCCCGACTGATGCCTACAGGCCCATTTTGGGGTCAACCCGCAACTAGGGAATCTCAGGCAGTTGCGCAGCGCCAGTTGGTTGAAGGTGCCCAGGCCCTGGCTTCCTTTTATCAAATGTATCTAAGTCAGGCCTTGGGCGAGATATGCAGGATGGACCCAGCACAGGCTGTGAGCAGTTGGGCACGGGTAACTGTCGGAGGCCCTGGGCCTGTTTTGTTTGGACAGAGGCTCAGCCTCCTTGGGCCTACCGGAAGATTCTGTGTCAAGGTCCAGTACCGCAACACGGCACGCAGCAGCAGGCCACTTCGATATAAGGAAGGGCCTGCTCACACATTGGACATTCGGGCACTGGCTGCTTTGTGCGCAAGCGCTGCTGCTCTATCACCTCCCAGGCTCATGCCACGCGCTCACGGGCGAGCTGGAAGGAGCAGGCAGCCATAGCCGAGCTGCGCTGCTGTATGCTGGATGGGGCGCATGGTGGTCCTTAGGTGCAAGTGGCATCTGTGAGTTGGGGAACGAGGTTGTGAGTGATACGAGAGACATACCTGGTGCTTGACGCATGCGGCATTGGCCGAGGTCTGCTTGTACTTGGGTTATCAGCAGCATTGTAGTCTAGGCTAGATAGGATCTGCCATTCGTAGTCTGGGCGCTGAGCGCCAGATAGGATATCAACATTGGTTCTTCGTTGATGATGATGAGACTATTCCAACATTGTCAATTTTGAGCTTTTGGTGTGCTCTTCTTTGGTGAAACTCGTGATGCAATTCTACTTTTGGTTCGAGGTCACAACTATCTGGTCTCATGTGTATGATGCTGTTTGATTGCTGAAGTTCGCTATTGCTCATCTTCCTTGCACATGAGTCACGTTGCGTTCATACTTCCTTTGCATCGCTGATTGGCCTTCTGACGAGACTGGGTTCATTACATGTTCTCCATTGGGAACAGTGATTTGAATCATTTTTCTCCAAGGGAGGTATAGATGGAACATACACCGGAAGTGGTAATTAAACCACCGGTACATGGCCCCAGCCAAATGGAGAAGCTGTTTTGAGCCTCTGAATTTGTTTATTTTAATATTTTTAATATTTTCTTTTGCTTTTTTTATTATTCTTATTTTTTTTAATCTCCAATAACGATCAATACTTAATAATGATCTGGAATTTGATACTCATGTAGATAAACACAATGTACAAATAGCGATGAGAGCGAAACTGCGGAAGCAGTTCTCTCCCATCAATCACACGCTGCAACAGATCATGGCGGCCGCGGAAGAAATGGAACGAAAGTTCGCTGCGAGTTTCCTAGAAGGAGAAGATTACCCCAGGGAAGGAGACTCGTCTGAACTGGCGAGAGCTAAAGCTGAGCTGGCTGCACTACAGAACAAGAGAAGAAGATTACACACAATGGACCCAAAATTAGAAGAAGATGCCTTGAGCTTTAATATCATGGCGTATAACACCTTCCCCTCCACCATTCCATAACCTGCGGTTACGGAAACTCAATCCTTCCACTCAGTACACCACTCAGATTGAGGATTCTTACAATATCACCTTCTACTTTTAAAAACTCTATAACCTATGTGCTCGACTCTCGGTCGAGTATGCTTCTCAAAAAAGAAGAAAATAATTAATTTAGTGAATGTATGCTGCCAAAAAACCTGTCCGGATGCTTATGGAAAACCCACTGTCGATGGTCCGCTTACCCGCGGAGTGTCCATTGCGTACATCGTAAAAAAGGCGCCGTACCGAAAAACGAGTTTCGTGCGTGAGCCGTCAATATCGAATTTCGAATTGGAACCAGATATTGAGGTACATTCATTATGGCAGATAGCGGCTCGACTGAGCGGCTCCAGTGCTGATACACTGGTGACAAACTTCCAAGGCGTCCACCGAGTACCCGTCGGGCCCTTTGTCCCGTAGGAAAGTTGCCGTGGTGTCGTTACCTCCTCAGTACCGAATCTGGAATTCATGTTTCCGCCGATCTGAGCGGCTGGATACTCAATTTGTCCCGTACTGATATACTGATCACCATCTTCTAAAAGCATTCGCAGATAGATTGCTGCCAGTGCGGCAAGCCATCCTGTTAAAAAATATATATATATCTGTATAAAGCCGTATAGTCGGGTAGGTACAGTCCATAATGCTTCCTACGGCCAAAGGAGTCTGCGGAAAACAGGCCTCCTGATGCATGGCCTTGGTCATGGGTAAAATAATATTGCTGGCGTACCCAAGTTTCTTGAGCTTGATTGCTAATGTGAGAACACCGAGGCAGACAGTGCCTTTGTCATTTCAGTTCTCAGCGATCCGAAGAATAGTATTTGCAATTGTGGCAAATTTTGCCGTTTGTGGCCTGAATGAAGCTGGGTTCTTGTACGTCTGAAAATGCAAGTCCCCGGGTCCCCATATTGATTCACGGTTCTTAAATTTTTGAGCCACAACAACTGTTTTATCAAATTCGGAGACGATTATCCTTGTTTCCAAAAAACCAAGAATTCCAAGACCTGTGTCAGTCCTTTCCAGACGGAGTTCCTTGGGAAAGCACTGTTTAATACTATCCAAGCGGTCATCATCTCTGGTGTACCCTGTTGGGTCATTTTTATCAAAAAAGGAAAAGAGTAATAGATCATCTATGTATCTTTTCCAGGGTTGTCAAGCCCCGCCCCCGGGGCCCCGGCGGGGGTCCGGGGGTCCGGGGGTGGGCACCCCCAGCTCCGGCTCCAGCCCCCCCGCAAAAAAAAAAAAAATCAAAAAAAAAAAAAAAAAAAGTGGGGGGTGCACAGCGAGAGTGCGCACCACATGGGCTAAACCCCAAAGATGGGGTTTTATGCGCCACACCGGACCCCCCCCCGGGGCCACACCCACCACTCCTGGGACCGGGGTAGCTGCTGGTGCGGGGCCGGGGGCGGGGTTGAGTGTTGGCGGGGTTGGGGTTGAGTGTTGG